TTATTTTATTTTGTGGTTATATTTAATAGAATATGTTGTAAAGAATGTTATGAAGTATAGAGAATATATTATATTATTAATATGAGAGGTGGAAAATGATGTGAATGTGAAATTAAGAAAAGAATATGATAGGTTATTGAAACGTGTAGGCGTAGGCATTAGATATGGGGTTGGAGAGTTTGGTTTGGGTGAGTTGGGATTGCGTCTTGGTAAGCTTTATACGAAAGGAGTGATTTGATGTAATTTTGTTTTATGTTTATCCCTAAATAGCTTTGTGCCTTTTGCATTGTGGAGGTCAATCAACTTGTCATTCTACAAATTTATGTGTTTTCTAGACCTCCAACGTCTACCTAAAATTCTGGCCATCCATCCATCCCATTGTGTAAATCATACATTAATTACCTCTTAATTTTATCTTAGTTGTTATTAAAATAATTCGGTTTTATTTTTAATTTAAAATAAAATTAAAATAGATTTTATTCTTTTAATTTTTTATGTGCTTAATAAGTTGAGTATTGAAAAAGACCGAGACAAGGTACTAGTCAGGGAGAAAACAGCGTTAGGTTTGGTCATAATTATTAGACTTCTTTGACTGTTCTTTCAAAATCATTAGACAAGTTTTAGGATCCATGGTCTAATTTAAGTGAAATATGATTTAAATCAATATCAAATGACAAATTCTATCGTATGATTGTAATTTGTTGAATTTATTAATTTTTTTGAAAAAAATTATGGTGAACATTTAAAAATAAATGTATATAAACAAATTGACACCACTTTCATTAAAAAAATTTAAAGCAATATTTTATAGATACTCATTTACATATATGCATTATCTGTTTTACTTATTTCTATTTTTTTAAAAATTCAGTATGAAATTTTTTAAACTTTAAGATTTTTCAGGTACTTTCTACCATATTCATTTATTTATATAATCACCAATATACTAAAATGTATTTAATTCCTTCATTTATTTTTTCTTTATAAAGTTTTAACACTGAATTATCTTTTACATGTGTGTTACACTTAAACAAGCTCTTCTATATTACTATGTTTCAAAGAACACATAAAATATATCTTCTTTCCATTGATTTTGAATGCGCTTTATGAAAGTAGTTGAAATGAGTATTTTAGTATTTTGGCATGAGAAATGTTACATCATTCATCATAAATGAGAATTTGCAAAGCGAATACTACATGAAATATGAAGCGTGTAGAAAACATTTAGTTAGTGAAAATTAAGTGGTGGAAGTAATCAGAAACTGTCATTCTGGCTCCTTTCAATCATGCCAATAAACAATACCTTGTCATCTTTCCATTGATGAATCATTCAGTCACAAATATCTTTTGGTTTCTCTTTTGCTTCAATCATATCTTCTGTATGGTATCAAAATTCCCTACTTTTTTTTCTAGTCGAATTATTTGGATTAAGAAATAAATATATAGCAAAATATACTAAAAAAAAGATAAAAATTCATGTATCACAAAATAAATATTAAATTACATTATATTTTTTCGAATTTATATATATAGATTAGTGATTTAATTTCTAAAGTCGTTTTCTGTTTGAATATGATAAGATGAAAAAGTATATAATCCATACCCATGCTATAATATATCAATGTTTATTATTAACCATAGTTATAATATGTTATTAACTTCGGTAATCAGGAATGGTGACATAACCATAATGATGAAATTGTTTATAACAAAAAAATATAATAATAATTATGATAAAAGTAATAATAACAACTATAATAATAAAATGATTGTTTTAATAGTAAAAATGACAAAAATAATACTAAAGTTTAATTAAATTTTAAGTCTTAAATAAATTTGAGTTTTTTAAATAAATTTTTATTAATTTTTTTTAATCAAATGTGTATTTAAATTTTTTTTATATTTTTAACTGTATTTGTGTTTTTTTTAAATAGGTGGGTGATTCTAAAACGTTATTATTGTTAATGTAAAACAATAAATGATTTATATTAATTGAAACATGTTAGATAATGAAATTCTTATACCATTTTAGGTAAGTGACAACAACAATTATTTATTATTAAATACATTTTCAATAAAAATAATAATTATTATTTATAATTATATTAATAGTACTATTATTTGATATTAATCACAAAATGTCATGTCTTTTACTTTTAGAGTCAACTAACAAGATGACGAGGTCTTATCACCAAATTGTAAAAGATTAAACAATAGAGTTTCAATTAAAAAATATAAAAAAATTAATTATTTATTAAACCAAAAATATTTAATAGGAATTTAATTAGAAATAATAAATTTATACAAAACTTAAAATTTAATTCAGTATTAATAATCAATATTATTATTACAAAAATGTTAACCCTGATAATAAGAATAATAATAAAGTAATAAATATTTTCAATCTCACTATAGTTTTGTAATAACTCTAATACGATAATAGTAATAATAAATGAAAGATATATAATAAAAGTAATAAAAGAAAACATGAAAGTATGGATGAGAATAACAAACCCTAAGTAAAGACAAAGAGTACAAAGATATCCTATGGAATTTTATAGTTTTTTTTAATAAAGATGATAATGCAATGTGGATTATGTAGGCTGATTTGCAAATCAGTAAAAAACAATATGGGAGGGTGAGATTGAATATTTTGGTTTACTAATTCATTTAGACTTCGTCCTGCATAACCTGTAGCGTGCAAGTCAACAATGGAATGATACAAGACAGTCCGTATAGTTTATATTGTATAAATTTGTTCAAAATATGTTTATAACTTATGATGTATTGGTATTAATATTCTATAAATTTATTATTAAGTTTGTTTTTGGAAATATTTTTCATCATCTTTCAATGATAACTTTAGTCACTTTAAATTTATTTTTTATTGTTATTTTAAGTATATACATCTATTATAAAGTTTTTTAACAAACATGTATTTAAAAGTTAAAAATTATAAATTTATAAATATATGATTTATTTTAAGAAATAGGTTTATAAAATTTTTATTTATATTTAAAACCATAATGAATTGAAAAGGGTTATCCAAGTGGGGATGTGAGGTCTTATTGTTTTTTTTATTATTATTATCACTATTATTGAGTTGTTGCAGCTTTCAGCAATTTGTCCTAAGTGCGTACCTTTAATCCATGGATTTTAAAGCTTATCTTTTTCTTCATTTATCCAAACATGTCTTTGCAAAGGAAAGCCGTGAATTCCTTTGTAGTGAGGAATGTGTACTGCTACTGAATCTTGCACAGGTTTTCGTCTCAGTGCATTCCATCAATCATATCATATATCTATGTATAAAAAAAAGGATTCATAGCTCTGAGAGGTGGAAAAGACACTGTTATCTCAAATATTACCACTTAACATAACTTTTGTCAATAATTAATATGTATGTAATAATTTCATTTCTTTATTTTAAATGCTCATATAAAAACATCTCCATTGACTTAGCAAACCTTTAAAAAGAACGAAAGCAGCATTTTTTATAATCACTAGTAAAATAAAATATTATGAAAAAATTGTGTTGATCAATGATCATAATTTGATTTTTATTCTCAAAAAGGTAGTACATATATTCTCGATACAACTAACGGAGTGTAATGTAAGGCACAAAGAAGAATTTAGAACTGAGAGTTTGAACACGATGATAAAACATCTAAAGTACTTTTGTTTTTAGCTTTTTAACTAGTTATTTTATTTGAAAGTAGACTTAAAAACTCAATTGTATAGATAAATTACAGACGTAAAACAAAACATGATACATGAAAGAGACAGAAAGTGTGGAAGGTGGAATAACATACATAATGCATTGTTCTGAATTGTGATATTAATAATAGGTCAAAGTCGAAACACAGGCAACGTTTGAGACACAAACAACTTTATTCTTGTGTACAAGGTGATGTGTCTTTTAGAAAGCATTGAGAATAAATGAAGATTGTTTATGAGGTCAAGAACCTTTCGAACAAGTTACCAAAGAAGAAACTGGTTTTAGCCCATCGTCGGGTCTCTGGTACTTTAGCATTGGTTGGCACTCTCTTCACATCAACCATCATTGTCTTACCTATTTCTTTGCCAAGTGCTTCCATAGTTTTCATGTCCACTGGGTTTCCTGATGCATCCCTTACGTAGAACACGTTCAATGCTTGCTCCCCTCTCGTTGATACACCTGCCCTACACACTGTCAACCCATTCTCTCGTAGAATCCTTGTTACTTCAGACAGCAACCCAACTCTATCCTTTGCACACAGCTCAAGGCTCACACCCTGTTGTACACAATCAAGACTAAGACTTCAGATATATTCCATGCTCCCTAATAAGTACTTAACATTATCACCAAAATGCTAACTTTTTACGTGATAATTAAACTCTGTGATAATCTGCATGCCCATCACGACTCTTTTATTCTGTTTGTTATAGGCTTAATTTGAATATGAAAGTGAATAAGAAAATAATTAGTCGTCCTTTATGTGATTTTTTTTTTGTTTTTAAGATGTAGGGAAGTGGATGATATTACATGGAGCATATAGACTCTTAAGCTCTATTGAAGGCAAAAGATCCCATCATTGTCACTAGTGGACATATGATGGTCAGATACAATCTGAGTGGAACTTAGCTCATGTATTTGCCGTACCAGTGCAGCAATACAAGTAGATAGCTGCAGATGCAAAATGTATTCATTCTGTTAAATTCAGAAAACATTCTACTATACAATCACATAGATACTAAGTAGAAATAGTAAAGCCTATCCTAAAATTCGTGTACTTTACTGACTAATGTATATAGTTAAAATGAAGATTACAAGAAAACTTCCAAACAAAAAAATCCTTCTTAGAGCATGGGAGGGAGACTTACTGGGAGAGGAGATTTTATAATAGAAGTTCATCCATCTTTTTGTTTTTGTTTTTGCAATAGTCCAACAAGCATATAGAAATATAGAAATAAATTCAAATGTGAACGTTACCTCGCTTACTCTTCTTCGAATACCAGCTTCAATGCATTGGATGACCCTTTCTTTCTCTCCTTCAGTGTCAAGGGTGCATCCATCCATATGTCGAATAAAATACTCCTAAAAGTACAACATCAACTAACCCTTTTAGTTTACACTTCTGACTTGAGTCTCACCACTTCTAGTGTATAAACATGCAGAACAGAATACCAATGTAGTATACCTGGGATGCATAAGGGCCATCTGATGAAACTGTGGCATGGAAAACAACATATTGCATATCAGTAAGAGTGCAAACAATGTCAAACATGAGTTTTGCCCGATCCTTGCACTTGACTGTGACAACTGAGTACCCTTTCTCCTCACAACGTTCTATTGTGATTTTAGGCCTGAAAGAGAGAGGACAATTAACGTCTCGTGCTACTCTATAACTTTCATAATCCCGATCAGCAAACAACATTTGGTGCAGCCGCCGATCCATGTGGGTGAAACCCATGGAGAAACTAGTCCTAGCAACTTTCTCACCATCACATCCTCGTAAGATGTTGTTGAGCTGCTCCTCCATTAGAGATAATCTGTTTGGCTCGTCCACAGCTCGGTTTGTAGTGTCATTGACATAAAGAACGCAGGCAATTCGCCTGTTATGAGTCCACACTTCTGCTGCAAAAACATTAAAATGGAGGTTGGCAAGAACAGCTGAAATCTCAGACAAGAGACCAGGGCGGTCTCTGCCAATCAGTTCAATGGCTGTATGATCACCGATAGAATGCACTCCAACCCTTTTGCTTGGCCAAAATTTCACCCCTTCTGTGCTCTGGCTCTTTGGTCCTAGAGCCTATTGTAAGAAAAACTGTTATCAAGTAGCTCTTAGTATTTGATATGCATTACTATATAGGTGTTATACTGTATGCAGTTATGGAAATGATAGAGTGAGCCGATTGGTGGTTTTCAGTAAGGGAATCTGATCACTGGTTTCTTACTTTCTTTAACATTTATGAGTAATATCTATATGACGTATCTGATTTATACTACAGTCAAGGTTTTTTAAGGAACGAAAAAAATGAACTTTCTCAATCATGGCTGTTTTTCGAGACAAAGTTACTCTTCAAAACTCTCTCCCTTATTTAGTTTATTTGTATATGTTCGAGAGTGTTGTGCTACTTCAATTTTCACCAATAATTTAAGGTTTTCAAGTTGTCATTAGCTATACTAAATATAAAAATTATATCAGATTAGTAGTTCAAGAAAAAGGGTTGATATTTACTTTTCAATGAAGTCGATGGTTTTGTTGTCCGTTATCTTTCTTCCTTGCTGATCCGTGACATGAAATACTGCATTTCATTAGGCGAACAAGTTAGCTGCTGAACATCTGATATAGGAAGAGAGGGCTTGGACACGTGTTAGCATGAAATACTATGTTGTTTGTCTTAAAACTCCTTTATGGGGGGGGACCAATTTGACTAACTACAAGTGCACGTTTTCTTTCCAAGAAATCATGCAAAGAGAACAACGGGGGATGATGTTCTCACTGTTAGATTAATATAGCAGCCAAAGTTTTTTATAGCTGCCCGCTTTGAGTTAGGACAATAACAACAAGCATGAACAGGACACATCTGAGTGGTTTTTAATGTTCAAATTAGTCACAACATACCATCCATAAACCAACCACCGTCAGAAGATATGTAAGCTTTTGTAATTATGAAGTAAGGTCGGTCAAGATTTGCACCACTTCCAGCAGAATTCCTGGTTTGTTGACACTATCAACCTGTAGTTTATTTATTTATTTTTTTTATAGGGAGAGGATGGTAAAAGTCGATCAGTAGAGGAAAACACTAGAGTAACATATTGCATTCACTTAATCTCCAAATATAAAAGATTCTTTCTAGAAATATGAAAAATGGTGATCTCATGACAATGCAGGGAGTATCATATGGTGTATCATTTAAAAGGAATAAACTTATCAGCATACAGAGCACAAATTTTGACAGCGAATTTTATCTGTTGAATTTGTGTCACTACTTCTGCAAAGTGAGAATTTTCTTTTGATCATGTGAAATTAAGTTTGACTACGGTTTTGATTAAGGGCTAATGAAATATCATTTTATTTTAAGGTCTTGAAATATTTATGTGCTGGAACCTAAATTAAAAAATCAAAAGATCTAGGTGTCAACAGTTCAAGAGAAAACTTTAAATACCAGAAGCTGGCCTCCTAGAACTCAATGGCGACATAACAACTCACAAGGTTGGTCAGGGAAAAAAATAGTCACAATTTTTGTTTTTAAATTATACCTTGATCAGGGGAAAGTCATTTGACAACTGCTATTGTCACAGGACCCTGCCCAAAGTTTGATAAACCGAGTTCATCGTCAACCAATCAATTTTAATGGTTCTATAAAGTCATACCTTAAACCCCAATTCTACAAGGTATTGAGCCCTTTACTCCATATGGGATCGAGTTGATTGTCTCTTTTTCTTTTAACAAAAGCAAGTGAGGAAATTAAAGAGGCCTTTTTAAATTTATATTCTGTTCCATTCTTGGTTTAGGAAGTAAATGCAGTTAAGTGACACTTAGGGAATTTTCTTTTGATAATGTTAAATATATCCATTAAAATCAAACTCTAGAATTGATTTTATGATGATTATGATCAGTGATCCCATCTTCATTTAAAGAGGCTATTTAATTTGCTGACCGTTTAAAAGCGAACTTGTAATTCCAGAGAGTAATTTAGTAAACCTTGGTGGGTTCATTCTATTGCTGAAGTTCTCATACTCAGGATCAAAATATGGCCAACAAACTTAGCCATTAATTCAACTTCTCCAGTCAATGGGGGTGCTTCGTTTTCCTGCATGAGCATGGAAAACATGCAGATAAAAAACAGTACATCAGTGACAAAATTTATCATTTTAGGGATGCACAGAAGAGAAGGAAACAACAGTTCGTCAGTTACTAGCATATTTTTCAATTTAATTGTTTTCACACGAGTAATTATTCCATGATGACTCTGTTTAATATCACGGTCACACTTACTAAATGGGACTACATTTCTATTTCTATGCTGGTATTCTTGATTCTTATCATATCAGACCGAAAAACTCTCCCTCTCTTAATGGTTGTGGGTGTCAAACAGTATAAGGCAGTAAATCGATCAGTACAATGTTTCAGTCACCCACTGACTCACCGCATCAAGCATCCCTACAGCAGAATCTAAGATTCTGCATGCTCCTTCTCTTGACCTTTGAACATGATATCAGGAATAAGGTGAATGCTGAGTGTTCCATGTGCATTGTATTAGCAAAAGTTCGGAGAGGGAGATAAGAATAAAGAGTCAACAACAAGAATGCCTGGAGAATCACGGCATCAGCAAAAGTGTTTCACTTTTTTTCTTTTGAGCCACACCCAAAAACGCATTGACTTCAACAAACTTTCCACCAGTTGATTTGGATTATGTAATAGTAGTTGAATGAATCTGATCAATTTTACGTTTTCTTATCAAAAATTTCTTTCCCATTTGATACAGATTCGTCTCATTCCAGAATCATCCCGTTCCACCAACTTTCATGAAATGCAAGAAAAAGAAATATAACTAGTATGTGTTTGGGGGCAAACAAATCAATATACACCGAAAAGGGGTTATAGAAAAAGGAAACAAAAAAAGGTCATATATTTAGCTCAATCTTACAACAACCAAATCCACTCTTAAAAAGGACCCATTGAAAGGTGTCTTTGAGAAGAGTTTGAATTTTCAAACGAAATTAATATTTAACTTCCGGAAGAACCCATTTTGTGATGTGGTGCTCAAAGGTAGCTTACGCTTTGGTGAGTAAGAAAAATAGATTCTTGAGCCAAAAAAGCAAAAAACATACGAAGTGCCATAAAGACTTGATTCCAATTGCAACCAGAATCCTAATTTTTATTTTGCTTTCCTTGTGATTTCACTCATCCCACAACGTACCGTGCCAATTGCCATCACCCCATTATCTAAGATTATTTCAAAATCTGAGAGGGTCCCCGCAATCCAACTTGATGATGACTCTAACAACGACATATTCTAAAATTAGAAAACAAATTAATTATGAATTAAGAGTATAATTGGTTGAGATATATCTACTTTTTTCACAGAAAAATATAATTAGCATAAATAGCTAAAATTTATGGATGCACTTGTTTTCGTCCTTTAAGCAATGTGTTAGAGAGTCTTGCAGATGGTGAGATGAGAAAGTTGGCTTCCCCGAGAAAGAATTAGTTGTGGCTGAGGCGAGTTAAGTCAAAACCATAATTCAAGTTACAAGTTGAGCAATACCCGAGAGAATGAACTACTTTTGAACATGGATCATGACGCTTAACTCTATAACTTTTCCACCGTAAAATGTTCACATGAGATCATATTTGCAAGCGTTAATAATTTTATGTTCTGTTCAGAAAATTATGGCCGTTAAATGTATTTTAAAAAAAAACAGGGAAGAGTTAATGAAAATAAAAATATAAAGTTTAATGCTCGTTTAGTGTACAGAAAATAAACACTTTAACTTTTATCTTTTTACATACAAAATAATTGTGTTGTACGGTGTGTTAAACCATTTTAATCTCTTTTATTTTTATAAGTACTATTTTTTATTTTTGTAGTTCCAACGTTCTAAAAGTCATAAAAATAAAAGAGAAAAAAAATAAAAGTTTCTCACTGTTGACATCCCACTTAGATAGTGTTCGGAGTTCATGTAACAAAAAATCTGTTATCCATTATAAAACTGGTGGAAGCACTGTCAGAATATTGCAACAAAATAATATTTGATAAAGAGAACAAGAAAGATCCGTGACACGGCCAACGGAAAGAACATAGATAGAATAAACAAAAATTCAAAGTTGTTTGACCATACAAATTAAACGTTTGTACTAGGTATTAAATAAAAGTGGCAAAAAATTAGTGTTGATTATATTCTTCAGGTAAAATAAGACAAAAGATAGTTGAATTCAATTGGACATCAGGCATAAAAGGTTTTTGTTAATATAGGAGAACTACCCATGGAAAGGAAGTTGGAATTGAATTTAAAAGAATTAAAGAAGATCATCAAAAGAGTATAAATAATGGTTCTAAGTTTTTGGGTTTTAAAAAAAAAAAGACACACAACACAGACCACAAGCTCTCAAATCGATGTCCTGTATCCACTAACTGATTTTGGCATATTTTACACGGCGAACAGAAGCATAACAGAAAGACACTAGAGTAGCTTGTTTTGTTTTTCCACTTTAAAATATAATATATGACACTATGAAACAGTCAACTGAAACGGCGACACACTGCAACTACAGTGAAGCCGCGAAGTATCTCCACGCAAATCTCAACCGCCAACTTAGCCATCCAAACAAAACACAGAGGAGTTCTTGAAATCAATATGCATAAGAACTCGCGAAAAGAAGCTGATAGGAGAAAAACATGAGTAAATTCATGTAGAATACTTAGCTAATACTACGTCCTTAGACGACACAGTCCAGTTCACATGAAAAACAGACTACTAATTGTGCGAAGAAAATTGGACAAAAAAATTGATAGCCCAAATGTCACATGAAAAGCCAATATAAAGACAGAGATAAGACTTTAGGAGAACCTTTGTTTGTGTGTGAGTGGGGTTCTGGTGTATTGCTTTTCAAGTTGGTGAAACCACTCGATTTACAAAATCTTCTCTCCTCTATCTCTCTCTGTGGCAAAGCAAATGGAAAGGCTCCGAAGTGGCGTGGCAAGAGGTTCTGGGAAGTGGGAGCCCATTAAATATCAAGATTAATAAATAATGGATGTTAAACAAATAAATAAACTTTAATTTTTAAAATCACCCTTTGTGGAATCATTCTTAATTTAATCAATTTCTAAATTCTGATTCTGGATACCTTTTATACACTGCCCATAATGCTCATGTTTGGAGTCACCCCTATTTCTTCTTATCTTCTTGTACTACGTACAGAATAAAGTTTTCTGAATTTTAATATACTTTTTTTTTAATGATTTAACGCATTTTTATAAAAAAATATTGTTATTTTCTGATTGCTTATTTATTTTTGTTCATCAAAATTTTAATATCAAAATATTTTTAAAATAGAATAATAGAATTAAATAGGCTGTAAGTAACGTAAAAGTATTTAGTTTTTCTTGTAATTGATCCAGTACCAGATAAGTTATTTTTTCGCCAAAAAATAAATATATGGAGTACGTTTTTTTTTAAAGTCGAGAGTAATTTTAGTTTGTTACTATACGAATGCAGTTATACTTCACTGTACTCTGTTTTTGTCTTATTTTTTTGTCGTGTTTCTAAACTATTAACACAAACTAAAGATTAATGAGTAAAGGTCTTATAAGTAAAAAAAAAATAATTAAAGATTAATATGAGGAAGATCCTGAAAAGTATTGACTTTATCCTGACCAATTACTTTTGAGGTAATATTATAACAAAAACAAACAACAAAATCAACAATTACATGAGTTTTTCAACTTGTGTCTATTCTAAGAAAATAATCTATACAAAGCAGATACAAAATATACAAATGTGGTAATTGGGACATATGAAAAATATATGAAAATTTAATATTCTTAAGAAAATATCAAAATTGTAAAGACAATAAAATAAAGAATTATTTTTTACAACATGTATTATAACCACAAGTCTATAAATGTTGAATTACAATAGTAATTATATTAAAACCATAAGATTATGATGAAGGAGTTTTCCGAATTTAACAAATTAAGATATTGTTTAAGTTAAGAATTGAGAAAATAAAAAAATATGAAGTAATTGCAATTAAAACTTAATCAGTGTCAAATAATTGGGTTGTGTTAAGTTAAATATGTTTTTAGTCTTAAAACTATGTCCGTTTCTGGTTTTCGTCCCTCTTT